GTTTTTCTGCGGGAGCACCCCTGGCCAGACCAATATTGGTCCGGTTTCCGGGCAAACGATACGCATAGGAGTCGCAGGAAGAGATGGACAGAAAGCTGCCGTCCATCTACATCTGGGTCACCGGAAGATGCCGATTCCAGCGACGAAGAATCGCCAGAGGATGCTGACGGGACCGCCAGTCCGCCGCGGTTTACGTGGACGGAGCAAATTAAGCAGTCTTTCAGGGAGGAACTTGAGAAGCTTGTCATCTTGGACTATATCATGAGAAACACGGATCGTGGGCTCGACAACTGGATGGTCAAAGTTGACTGGGAGACGGGCTCGGTGTCTCTGGCTTCGGACCCTGTACACCTGAACATGGAAACACCACAGGACGACCACGAGAACGCTCCCCGACCCGTTGATCTAGAGCAAATGCCGCAGTCTGCTACCAGCGCATCGTACCCTTATAGGAGCCAGAGGCCCATGAATGCTTCGAGCAACAAATTGGCATCAAAGGATCCAGCCATGTATGTCGGTGCCATTGACAATTCGCTTTCATGGCCTTGGAAACATCCTGATGCATGGCGGAGGTAAGTCTACGCTTGACAGATCATTTTTCAAAATGCCTCATAACACAACAGTCACTAACAGCATGTTTTATTAGTTTCCCATTTGGCTGGCTTTTCCTTCCTGTAGACCTCATTGGTCGGCCATTTTCACAAAGGACGAGAGATCACTTCCTTCCGCTCCTCACTTCTACAGCCTGGTGGGCTCAAACACAAATGGCGCTCAAGCGAGTCTTCCAGGTGGATGAAGATTTCCAGGAGCGCATGTTTGCCAAGCAAATCGCCGTCATGAAGGGCCAGGCCTGGAATGTTGTGGAGGCACTCAAAACCCCAGACCACGGTCCTCTCGAGCTCACTCGTCGAACCAAAGTATGCGTCTGGGATGATTTGGTCGACGTGCCAGTTGCAGTCCCTATGCGGGTGACATCTTCTGAGCTGCGGCGCAACTCCAACGTTCGTCAATCTATGGACGAGGCCGACATCGCTAGCTCTGTACCAGCCAATCAAGACTCGTCGGCCGACCTTCTTGGACTACAGAGCGCCCCGGTAGACATGCCACGTTCTGGCCGATTCGACGAAATTTCCAGCCCCAACGAAGACGGTGCCCGATCATCCGACGAGAGACGATCCATGAACGGGCCCGACAGGAATCCATTTGGGAACCAGGCAGGATCCCGCTCACTAAACGTCTACGAGCCAGCTCGCCACGGGCCCTACCAACAGCGGAGATACTCGTTCGCTTCACCGGCAGCTGCAAGGCGGAATAGTAACACCATAGCCCAACAGCTGTACGGCGACTCGCATGATTCGTACGACAGTGACGACCTCGATGGGGACTTGGGTTATGCGGCAGCAGAAGGACAAATGGGCAACCAGCGCAAGGTCATCGTGGAGCGGCTTGAAGCCGTCAAGAGCAGAAACCCTGTCTTCACCTGGTGCTAATCGAGGCCCGCGCCATATAATTTGGGGGAGAAAACTCGCCCGTTTTTGGCAGCTGCATGTCTGTTAAGCTCAGATGGTCAAGTTCAGATCCACTGACAGGCCGAAACCCGCCCTCGTGTTTGGCGGCGCAACAGCCACAAACATCTGCTACAGGGACCATCTAACTTCAGTGTCGGGCCTAGTCAAGTGGACTATCACGCCGTACGCAGGCAAAAGCCGGCCAGTTCGAGCTGGTGCTTGAACGGGGCACCTGCGCCGCTTGAACGCTCGTTACTTTATGACAGGAGTCATGACTCAAAAAGCCGGCCAATCGCTCCGTTGGGTACCTGATCCAGTCGTGTCGGCCTGATTTGTGACTGTTCATGTTATACAATGATGTAATTATAGACATAGCAATTTTCTTTCCCCCTCTTTTTACACCTCATTCTCCCGTCATTATTCAGTACTCCCTACTCCGTACGGCGCTTGCAATTCTGGGCTTGAGAGGGGTGCAAAATAACTGCGCATGCGGAATTAGACTCTTTTGGTGGGACGTACGGGGCTTTAGCAACAGAGTGGTCAACACTTATGTAGTACAGCATGGATACGATAAACTTGGTTATAGACTATGTTCAAAAAATCTGACACCAATTCCCGGAATGACACCCTTCAAACCCCTGTGCTTGGCCACGGTAGCACAAGCCTTTGAGGTTTCCACTCCGTAGCCCCGAGAGCATCGTTGCTCAATTGTACAAGAAAACTTGGATCAGCAATTTTCGACGGGCCAGAACACTACGGTAACATGTCTCAGCCCAAAGAGTAGGATCCCAATACCATGACGCAAACTAGACTTGCCTAAAACCCGAGGAGCTGGTCCCCCACGCGATACGCTAAACCCGAGGGCTTGGTTCGGCAAAAGGGCTTGCTTGCGCAAGGATAGGCCCCCTGCGAGGCATGGCTCGCGCCGGTCCGTCCTCGAAACCGCGGTGTCATGGCAAAATTCAAAGCCAGCAAAGCGTGGTGACAAGGACCTGGCCCCCGGGCCAAATCTTGCCGCATGGCGAATTCCATCCGTCCGAAATATCTTGGCTCGTTCCCAGAGTTTCTCAGTCTCGGTTCGACGAAACTCAGGCGGTTCCAAAATCCCTCTCCAGTTGACCCCATATTTAACAATTCACTTGATCCCTGCAGGGGGGCATAGAGAGAGCATGCAGTGTACATAATGTCTGGTACAGATAGGTGGTTGAAGCAGTCGCTATTGTATGCACGTAGTTTAGTTGTTCATGGTTGATTCAGACCATCTAAACAATACTCTGTAGATGGGTCCTTGGCAAATGTGCCTGTTCAGCATAGCCCTGTGTGTAGGAAGACCGCCATTTTATGTACATCAACCATGGCACCTTTCGCAACCAACGCCACTGAATTGAGTAACACGTGGCCAATCGGCATCTCATTGGAGATAGCTCTCATTATTGACCCGGAAGACTTTGTGCTGTTTTGTCCGGGGCCGATTGCTGATTGATATATGTACAAGTGAGGAAGCGCAAATGTGCAGTCTTCTGGTGCATGGCTCCCCGGTGCTCAGAGTTAAATTCGTCTCCCGTTTCGTAAATTATTATTCCGGTACGTACTCCGTATTACTCCTGGCACTTTTCCAGCTGCGAGGGGGTTTCGAGTGCCCACACTGCCCACACCTGCTTCGTTATATTGTACCCGACCCTTGTCGATGTCTGTTTGTCTCTCAGGTGGTCTTTATCGGTGTATCCAGGGTCTCTGCGTAGTTCTACATCAGCCACGTACCGTAGGGAGACACGGAGGCTAATGAGTTTTGGTGACCTGTCTTATTTGGCGGAGTCTACTCCGTATCTGCCTTGTCATTTTACACGGTTTCGACCAGCTCGGTTTGTCCACCGGGTGAAAAATCACTTGCCCATTGAAGATAATGATCTGATTTTCTCCTGCTTGTTTAGGTTCGGTTCCATCTACTCCGTAGTTCATGTTTCAGTCCACAAATATGTGAGGGATCAGTTCTTACATACAGCGGGAAGCATGCCTGGTGGCGCTCGGGTTGGGCAGATAGCTTGGTTGCTTGGCAAGATCTCCCGTTGCTTCGGTATTGAGTAAGTAACATTTGAGGTCCACAAGAGTGGGTGCCATGAAGCCTCAGAACGCACGTCCAAGGCCAAGGATTGACCTGCTCATTCATTCCTTCGGTAATTCCTTCTTCACTAGGTCGCCACCCGAGGCTCAGTGGCCGTAGAAGACTTCAAAAGATACAAACAGGCTTTGGGACAGGTGGTAAGGCCATATTGTGCAGTTGAATGCTGCCTGATTTGTAGTTGCCTTCCGCAGCCGGTCTGGAAGTTTCTGCGGCCATGTCAAGAGATCAGAGGTACTTGACCTTTTCCGTTCAAAGCCCGCTCTCTGCAAGTAACGTCACTGCGCTGGAGGATGGACAGTTCTCAGGCCTAGGGCATAACAGCCTCCATGTCCACAGGGGATAAATTAAAGCGCCGCGAAGCGCCCGGCCAGGGCAATGTCGGTCCTTGCAAGCCTCGACGAGTACCGATGCCACCATCAACGAACATTCGGCTTTCAAGTACACCCCCGATGATACTTCATAGAGAATGTGGCAGGTTTCCTAAAGAGCGTTCTCGGCTATGCTGTCCTTCTGAACATTAGACAAGCACGACTGCCTAGTACCGTTGTTCTGGCCCAGGACGAGAATGTCGTCAGGCTGTAAAGTCTCATTTCTTGGCCCATCCACGTAGACGATCGTGAAAAAGCATTGAGCCAGCTTGCGGGGGAGATGGCGAAATAAAACATTCCCATCCCATGACACTGGCACTCTAAGCCATGAGTATAACAGCATCATGGTTCACAAGAGCACAAGCCCTTCACAGTCACCTCGGGTCCAGACAGCACAATTGGTTGCGAGGGATTTTGTCCTCCCATTGGGCTTCCGCAACGGTGTGGTTTGAGATCATATTCGTTGCTCCTCGTTGAATCTGGACCCTGCGGATCCATCGTGCGTCATAATAGTAGACACAAGTCGGGTTTGCGTCTCTGCCCTCCATCTGAACCCACCCCTGGACGTTGGTGGGCTCTTATGGTTGATTGGGTGGCACAAACAATAGCTGACTGCGTTGAAGTTTGTAAATGGAAGGACTGGGCCACGCAGTTGATGAAGCAGGTCTTTCTCAATGTCTCAGCTCTCTATTGAGTCTTCCAATGTCGAACACGTGCCGGAGCCAAATATTCCAGGCCTTCCTTCATTCCTTCAGAGAAAATATTATCGGTCGTCGATTTTCTAGCTTCTGTGGCAAGTCATACGATGCTGTAGGCTTGTATTGTGGTTGGAAAACCTGACAGGCGGACCGGGATTGTTCTTTCGCATACCACATGACTGCCTCTTTCGCGTGAGACTAGTGATAACTCTTGCATCTCCCTACCCACGAAATATCTGTTCATGTCCACAACGCATTACCCAGAAGCAATACTTGTTTACATAAGTATCCATCAAACCAAAATATGGACACCGAGTAAGGGATATCATGAACACCAAATTCGGGCTTGGCAAGTGAGCACTAACCGTCCGAGAAGAGATGGGACCGTCCCTCTGGACAAGTCGTTTGAGGAAACGTTGGAGCATCACGGCCGATCGTATCAAAAGCACGCTGTGACTAACGGAGTATATTTTGGCCCAGTCGACGAGGTATGTGCTCTCCGTTTATTCCACGACCAAAAGACTGGGAACCATTGCGTGCTAATATTGGGATATAGGAAGAGGTCGCACATCTCGAGTTAATGCACTCTGTTCTCTGTCGACTTTTCGATGGTAGACTTATCTTTCCGCCCGTGAACGAACCGAAACGGATCCTCGATTGTGGCTTTGGAGCCGGTGACTGGGCTCTCGATGTTGCCAGAGCCTATCCGGACTGTGAGGTACGACAGCACACCGCAACCCCTCGCGAGACATGGAATTCGGCAAAAGGGAATACGTGGAACCTGTTTGTTCCACACGTCAAGTCGTCGAGAAAGGTGCTTCAGCGGCCATACTGCTTAGCTGACCGCGTCTCTTTAGGTGATTGGCGTTGATATCTGCCCCAACATGATACCTGAAGACCAGCCAGAGAATCTAGTTTTCCAAATTGACGACCTGAACGCGAGGTCAGCGAAACTGTTGCCAGAAATAGACTGCCCGCGACTAATCGTCTTGACCTCACCAGGTTTACCTTCTCCCCAGGACAGTTCGATGTAGTCCATAGCCAAATGATGTCTGGTGGCATTAACGCAAGCCGTTGGCACGGCTACATCCAAGATATCTTTCGTGTTCTTCGTCCTGGAGGTTGGTGTCAGATGGTGGAAATATACTTCAATGCTCAATCAGACAACGGAACTTTGCACAGAGGCGAGTGATGCCGCATCTCCCAAATTTGAGCTAGGAGTTAACAGTTGAGGAGCCAGCCCACGCACTTTCCATATGGTCTTGCCTGTATCTTGATGCAATGCATCCTATGAAAGACACCAGAGCAGCTCTCCAGCTGAAACATCGGATGACGAACGTGGGTTTCACGGACGTTGAATCGCGGTTGCTAATGTTGCCCATGTGTCCTTGGCCAGCTGGTACGTGGTCCGCAAATTCGATGAAACAGGGCTCACAGCTGAGGTGCCTCTTCGTCAGATGAAAGAAATCGTGACATAGGGTCCGCTAATGCTGAGAATGTTGCCCAATTACTGCATTCATTGGCCTTGTATCCATTTACAAAATTGCAAAAGTAAGCAGACTTCTCATGGCTTGGAACCCGGAGTTAACTGGTAGCTCCCAGAGTGCCGTTGGACCCCTTCATGAGTTTAATAAAGGACGCAAGAGAAGAGGCAGCTAATCCGCTGTACAAGGTATGAAGTCGAGGGGCGTCAAATGTCGTCTGGCAAAGGCTAACATAAGTCCGAACAGGCCTATTTCCCGTTGTAAGTGTCGTTCACAGTGATCATGCCAGGCGCCAACTAGAGTCAAGTACAGAGGACAGCCTGCTTACATTATTACTCAGATACGTTTGCATTGGCCGTAAACCTGAAGCGTAAGGCCATGGCCAGGGCCTCGGTCCAAGGATACTTGAGTCATGAACTGTTTGAGTACCTACCTTCGCAGGTATCATGAACTCGAGGTATTAGGACAGGCCCATGCCGCGGCCCTGGCAGTCCCATCATGTACCTCCTGCTAGTATTTCGTTTTGAATGGCCTCCACCTTCAGCCCCTGGTGGTCAGCAAAGACGGCAAGGAGCAGGCGGTGGAGGTACTGGTCAAAAAACAGTCTCAAATATCGAGAGAAGAGGACGGTATTGCAAAGCAGATGTCATGGTGGAGAGCTCAGTGCTGAAGGAGGTCAACGGTCGTCGTCCGCGCTCGAGCTTTCCAAGCTAGCAGGCACGGCATTCCGCGACACAGGCAGGTGCGACCAGGCGCTCAGGCGATTTCAATGTTGGGCCTTGGAGGTTGGACATGGAATGGCCGAAAATGGCAGCTTTAGACTCTGCGGGGGTCAACTTCTAAAGTTGCGTCCTTGTCATCACACCAAGCGTTGGCATGGCATCCTTATGCCATGTCGTCGCCGAGTTAGCTCAAGATGGTGTAGAGAAATTAGCTACACAAACAACAGCGGATGCGCCCACGTTTATTTTAGCCTGTTTAGGCGTTCCTATGGGGTGGGCACAGCAGTACCGACAAGCCAGAAATCGGTGATTGCAACGAAACCGTGGTGAGGGCGAGTCGAATCAAAACCCGAGCCATGGCTTACCCAACATGTCTCTCATCTCCGTGGATGGGCGACGGGAGACATGTTGGGCACCAGTACGCCATGCCAGCCGGCCAAGTCGGATTTTCGGCTTCGCGCTGGTATTCGTCTTCTTGGGGACTGATTGCCTCGCCCTTCCTCCCAGCTCCTCCTCCCCTGGCTCCCCATGCCCACGCTGTTAGCGACGTTTAACGACGGCTAATTTGTTTCAATGCTTTGCAGACCGGCGGACATGGGCGTCCGCTTCTCGTCCGAAGCTCCGAGCCAAGTTCGGCCAGGGGCGGTGTAACTTCTACTTATCTGTCGATGTTCTCTCCAATATTGAGAGACGTGGTCCTCATGCTAAGGGACAAATGTTTCTGTTTCTATCTATCAGTACTCCGTACACCAAGGGTCATTTCTGCGGCGGGCTACGGAGCGCTCCCATCCTGGTTGGCAACAGCAGCGTAACTACATGGAACTCCCGATCAGTACATGGTGTCACCAATATTTTGCCAAGCGAGCAGGCGGAGCAGAGTCTTCTTTGGCAAGCCATTCAAACAAATAATACCGGAATCTGCGTCACCGGCTGACCAGTTGTAATTTGAAACTTGGTTCCGGTTGTTGCTGCCAGGCCGGGATCAGGTGATAGCGCGACAGCGCCGATCCTCAAGCCACAGCGGGTCGTCGAGATGCGATGGACGGGAAGCATTGTAGCCACTTGATAGAGCGTCGATTCTCAGGTAGATTTTGCGACATCATGGCATCATTTCTGGTGATATATGAAAGGATGCCCGGGCTTAGCGCGCATAGATAGATCGATATGCAGCTCATCGTCCACCCAGCCAGTGATGTTTGCAGCTTTAACGCATGCCCATGGCTGGGTATAATGAGAAAGGAGACAACTGGAGTCCTGGACGATTATGGCTGCCTAAATACTGGAGAACAAGTTTCTCGACGTCTGGGCATATCGGTGCATAAGTTGACTTTAACATTCAGCGGGTCAGAGACTGGTCCAACGTTTTGAGACATTATGGTAAGCATGTACTCCAGCCAGTTCTATTAACATTGAAGCTATTAGACGTCTCCCTACGGAGAACATGTGTGTAATAAATGTACGTGAACATGTATGTAACCTCGAAGCTAACACAACAGGTACCGTCTGGTGGGTGTATCCACTGATTGACTGCGCACCTGCAGCCAGCCAATAGCTGGTGGTCTTTGACAGTTGAACCTCTCGCCTCTCACTGTTCTGGATCTGACAAACAAAAAAAAGCTGGCCGTGGTCTGTGTTGAGCTTTGTTTCCACAAGATATTGCGGAGCGACCTTGGCTTCATCAACAGCACTACCAACCCAAACTACCACGTCAATTGAGTGCTCAATTGGGCTCAGGACAATGGCATCCAACCGATCAATGTCTCTTCTCTCAGCGGTGCGCTGGGCACAGCCAGCCCGCATGCCACGTACTAGTAGAAGCATGCCGTCAGTCTTCATGCAGCGAACTCACCGAGCATTCTCGACGACCACTGAGGATGCTCCTCCACCCTTCTTGCAGAAGCTCAAGGGAGACCTCAAGACCGCCATGCGAGCCAAGGACGCTCCACGGCTATCCGTGTTGCGATCAATCATGTCTGCCAACCTCAACGCCTCCAAGACCTCCAGCCCGATTCGGACCGATGTGCAGCTCGTTGCCCTAATGCGACGCATTCAGAAGAGTGCCCAAGATGCCGCGGCTGATGCCAAGACCGCAGGCCGCGAGGATCTCGTCGAGAAGGAGAACGTACAGATCCGTATTCTGGATGAGTACCTGGCCGGCAGTGGTGTTCAAACTCTGGGAGAAGCCGAGCTAAAGGCCTTGATACAGGAAGCAGTTGACGCTTCCAAGAGCGCAGGGACGGCTACAAAGTCCCTAATTGGCGACGTGATGAAACGCTTGTCTGGTGCTTTGGAGGGCAAGGATGTGGACAAGAAAGTTGTTGCCAATATGGTCAAAGAGTTGGCGGGCCAGTAAAGGACGGGACGTGCCATCCTGTGTATTGTATTATATCAGTGTATAACAGCTTTTAGCGGCAATCGATACCACGATCTCACTCTCCCCACGGCCTAGCAAGCAGATCACCTGATCATATACAGACATTTCTTGGAACTCGGTGATGGGCACGCAAAGTATATGCTGTACCTAGGTCATGTACTACTACAACCCGTACGGACGAGCAGCACCTGGAGAAGACAAAAGTCAACGGACAGCCATCAATGCTTGACATTGGAACAGCGACAAAACGAAACTGAGGTCTCAAAAAAACAACGCCTGGGATTCGAGCTTCAGCTTTATACCGTGAAATATTGATTGTTGGTTCAATTCTTTACCAGAAGTGCGTATTGTTTATTCAACACAAACGCGACCACGCAATCAACGAGCATAACGGCCTTTTGTTCGCAGCTGCCCCACCAAACTTGACGACGGCCAACAAGCTTAAAACGGGATACTCGCGGTTCTAAATGACTCATCCAATCGAAATGCCAGTTTACCGCCAGTTTTGTTTTAATACACCACACGCCCTTTGGAATCAAGGCATCACCTTGGTGCTCTACATGCATCTTGTGCCAGCCCTCTGCCCGGTACCCGTCCTCTCGCACCCCACGCTACCCTGCACATTCAGACCAACAATATCAGAGCTTCAACCATGTCTCGTACAAACATAAGCTCTGGCTCAGCGTTCGAGGCCGAGATTGGATACTCCCGTGCTGTTGTCGTAGATGACTGGGTAATGGTATCCGGAACCACCGGGTAGGTCGGCAGACGATTCGAACTAATAGTTTACATGTTTCACCGTTTTTAACAACTGATGACTCTCGTCAAGGTACAACTACCAAACGGGCGAAATATCAGACAATGTGGCAGAGCAAGCGGAGCAAACCCTGCGCAATGTCGACAAGGCATTGATGGAAGCTGGTTCTTGCATGGCGGACGTCGTTCGTGTCCAATACATCTTGCCGGATCGTGACGACTTCCCCAAGACCTGGCCGGTGTTGAGGAAGTGGTTTGGAGATGTCAAGCCTGCGGCCATGATGATCCAGTCTGCGTTAATGAAGGAGGAAATGAAGATTGAGATTGAAGTGACTGCGAAGAAAGGATGTGGACTCAAGAAATAGGCAACACTTTATTCTCGTCAACGGGCTGCCTAGGAACGGACTTGTGCTGTACAGCTAAATAATAATAAGATTGATAGACGAGGAAATTGGACAAGATCAATGAACCAACGGCGCGACCACACCCCCAGCAGCAAACGCACTCATAATCGTGACGACGCTCGACACAGACAGCAGCGAGATACCACTAATACCATGCCCCGAAGTGCACCCGCCCGCCATTCTCGACCCAACAGCCATCAACACACCGCCTGACACGGCCAACAATGGTGATATCTCGTAGGCAGGGCCAGACGCCAACCCAGGGACCAGCCTCAAGAGACCCCAAGCGCCGGCCGCGACCCAAGACGCAAACAGGATGTTCTGGTACGAAGAAGGCTTGGCATTGGTGTCGGCCCCCCGGACGAGCCACCAGAAGAAATTGCCCACCTCCTCGTATGAGCCCGAGATGCCCATCATGGTCCTCCGCGAGAGAATAGAAACGAGCTGTGCGCCCCCGACGAGGAGGCCAGCCAGCGCGCCGGGAATCTTGGCCGTGGGACTGACGGGCGTATACAGCGTCGTGGCAGCAATGACGGCCACGCAGACGGCCTCGAGCAACAGCAGCGCGGTGCCGTTGGACAGGCCCAGCCGCTCACCGACGACAGCTGGTTCCGGCCTCGCGCCCGCCTTCTCCCGCCGTCTCTTGACCAGCCTGCTCACCAGTCCGGACCAGAGCACGCCGCCAATGATGGCGCCGTCCAAGGCGTGGAAGCCTGACCGAACACCCGCCGCCAGCTGTGCGTAGAGCGTGCCGGGACACGAGCCCGACAGGGCCATGCCCGCGCCCAGGAGGCCGCCGCCCAGAATGTTGCCGTCGTAGCTGGACAAGAGGCCCAGGGGAGACGAGTTCCGGGGCGAGATCTTTGCGTAGCCCAGACGCTCGGCAACGGCGTATATCGCCCTGGCGGAGACGTGTGTTAGTTGGTGCCCCCCCCACGCCCTCGAAGGAAGACGGGCCTCGACTCACGCGCTGGTGGCAGTGGCAGCCAGAAAGGTCTGGAACATGTGCCAATTCTCGAACTTCAACTGCGAAATCACCACAGAAGGCTGGTGGAAGCCGGCGGCCATCATGGCAGCGCCAAAGGCAGCCCCCGATATCGCAGTGGCGGCCATGGGGAAAGACTCGACCGCGGAGAGATGTAGATGCGGCTCAACTTTTGTTTTTACGTAGAGATGCGGCCGAGGAACGCGGCAGACGAGGGGAGCTCTTGGAGTCGTGTTCTTTTATAGATCTTCTTTCCTTCTGTTTGGCCCTTGGAATCCTTTTCTGGCCTTTATGCATGGGCCGCCGATTGCTCCACGGACGGAAGGAGGGCCAACACTCGATGTTCGGCGATCTGGTCTGCGTGCAGAGGCGCCCTCTTTGCCCTCGTTCGGCGACGATCCGGATCCATGGTGCCACGTTTATAGGACCCCTTATGAACCGGATGCTTGGTAAAACGCTCTTGTAGTCGGCGAAGGGGGGTGTGTGTGGGAGGGCCACTGGCTCGTTTGGTGACTAGTGTCGAGTTGGTGATGGCGTCCGGTGGGATTGGCAATTGTCGGGGACCATGGCGTGCTGTGTGTCGTTGGCTCGTCCTGTCGTGTTTGCGTGGTGATTCTTTTTTTTTCTTTTTTTAGTATTTCCCCCCCCTTTCAGGTGGCTCAAAGCCGGAGTTTGAAATGTGGAAAATTTGTAGCCATGCGGCAGGTGACTGGTTGCTGAACAATGCGCACAAGTTGTTGTCGCCGTGGAATTGATGATTCGCCGACCTGGCCCGAGCCTCGAAGCCTCATGGAAGTCTCAAGCTGTGGGGTCTGGTTCGATTCTCTTTGGACCCACCTTGGCCCGGATGTGCACTGTGTGACCCGGGCATGTAAGTGTCAGGTCGGGCACCTTGATGCTGGACGGGCGGCGCCTCGACGACGGCAACGGGTCTTGGTCGGTTCGGCATTTGGATATACTACAGCTACATTGTACCAGTAAAGAGTGTGCAGGCCTGCCGTTTGCCTCACTGTACGCGCAATGCATGCCCAGATGTCCAGGTGCCGGCTGATTGGTTTAGGGGCTGGCTATCGATATATGCACAACACACATGGTGGATGACAGTCTACAGATGACCAGGCGGACCTGCGTGCGAGCTTCAAGTCCCTTGTCCGCCGTACAACCCCCCAGCGTCAGCCGAGGTCCCCACGCTTGATGCTGTTGTTTCCCCGCCATGGCGATGCATTCGGCTATGAGATCCCGCCGCGGTCTGCGATTCGCCATCTGCGATTCAACCGTCAACTTGCATTATTAAGGCGGCAATGGGCTGCTGGGCCATATATCATCTTTGATGCGTTCACGCCTGCGTCAACCACTCTGTACCTCATCGTACATTGTCCAATGACTCTCAGAATAATACAGCTTTTATTTTCCAATTGACTGCAAATCTCCAGTAAAAATCCAGAATATCCCCTTCACAATGCCGCGAGTTCTTCATGTGCAAAAGATTGATGGCAAGCCAGGCAAGGTCTACTACCCGTAAGTATTCTCGCGACTCCGTCAATCATCGGCCAGCATCTAATTTGTTTTTTTCGCTCTTCCAAACAACAGAATCAAAATCAGGGAAGCGCCCTTGCCCGAGGTCGGCCCCAGCCAGCTTCTCGTTCGCATGGACGCCGCGGCCCTCAACCACAAGGACCTGTTCATCCGCAGACATCTCTACCCAGCCATTTCGTTTGAGAACCCCCTGCTAGCCGATGGCTACGGCACCGTCGTGGAGGCCGGGGCAGCCGTCAAGCAGAGGGACCTCCTCAACAAGCCTGTCCTTCTCAACCCCATGCTCATGTGGGAATCCGACCCCGTAGGGCCGGAAAAGGGCGTCGTCCTCATCACCGGCGCGTCATCGGCGACCAAAACAGGCTGCGCCCAGGACTACGCCCTTGTCGAGGAAGACGATGTCGTGCCCGCACCGGCGCATCTCACCCCCGCCGAGGGCGCGGCCCTGCCGCTCGCAGGCCTGACCGGCTGGCGAGCGCTCGTCACCAAGAGCGGCAACGCCGAAGCCGGCAGGAACATACTTGTTACTGGGATCGGAGGCGGCGTGGCTATCCAGGTGCTCCAGTTCGCCGTGGCCATGGGGATCAACGTCTACGTTACCTCTGGCGACCAGGCCAAGATTGACAAGGCCAAGAGGATGGGGGCCAAGGGCGGCGTCGTCTACAAGAACGACGGCTGGGAGCGCGAGTTGAAGAGCTTGCTCCCCGAGAGCAGACCGTATATCGATGCTGTGATTGACGGTGCGGGGGGTAACATCGTCTCCAAGGCCACCAAGTTCCTGAAGCCTGGCGGCATCATTTCCCAGTACGGCATGACGGTTGCGCCCAAGATGGAGTGGACTATGCAGGCTGTCTTGATGAATATCGAGCTGAGGGGTTCGACTATGGGCTCCAAGAGGGAGTTCAGGGACATGGTCGCCTTTGTGAACGAGAAGAAGATCCGGCCGGTTGTGAGTAAGACGGTGAAAGGGTTGGCGAATCTGGAGGGTATTGATGGCTTGTTTAAGGATATGGATGCTGGGACACAGTTTGGTAAATTGGTCATTGAGATTAATGACCGCCCGTCGTCAAAACTGTAAGATAAGAGAACGAGAGGAGAAGGATGAGCGAAACATCCCAAGAATCGGTGGCCAATAATGAATCACACGAATGGAGATAAATTTGCTCGAATCATTTTTGGCAATGAAACATCTTTGAATTTTCGTAGGATATCAAAACGCCTTGAATGCCGCCAGTACTTGTCCTCCCCAGCTGGGAATGATACGTAACGACTCCAGTCGGACAAAACATAGCAAACTCCCAATTCAGCCCCCACTCCCTTGTCTTAATCAGATGACTTCTTCCGCTTTTTCTTCGGCCTATTCTCCTCCGGAGGCACGAATTCGGCCTCTCGCTCCTTTGTCTTCTCCTCTTTCCGAAGCTTCTGCTTCTCATTGCGTTCCTCCCTGGCCGCTCTATCCTTAGCCCCCTTGGCCAAGAAGTATTCACCGCTCTCGATTTGCTTGTCGATCTTGCTCTGCTCGGGTGCAGGCGGGAAGGGTGTGTACGCCTTCTTGGTCTTGTCCGTGACCTTGTGGGGAACACGACGGTGGCTGAGCGTCTTCTTCTTGAAGTTGGGGAGGAATCGGTCCCAGCTCTCGTTTACAAGCTCGGGATCCTTGGCCAGCTCGCGCTTGATCATGAGCTCCTTGATGTGATAGATGGGGTGGATGTTGGCCATGCAGTCCTCGATGATTCTTCGAAGGTCTTTGAGACCCTTGTATCCGCCCATGGCGCAGACTGTGTTTCCATGAACGAGAATATACGTCTCGGTCAGGAGCTCGAGTGCCTTGAGGGTCGAGCCGTTGGGGCCCAATATTCTTTGTCGTCGCTTGACAAATCGGTCTTTGCTGCCGACCAGGTTTCGAATCTTGATGACATCGCAGGCCATGCCGTCCTCGAGAATCTTGACTGCCTGCGGAGCCGGGACACTTCGAGCCAAGAGCTTGATTAGATCGCGCGCGTTCAGGATCGCGGCCGGGTCAAATGTTTTTCGAGTCGTCTTGACCGTCATTGAGCCTTCAACCAAATCCAATGTGCAGGCAATACCATGCTTTTCGAGAGACTTGGTGACGAGGGGCCAGGCTTCTTTCAGATACACTTCGCGGTATTTGGGAAACAGAGTCACAAATGACGACTCCTCCGCAAACGTGCCGCCGACATTGTCTTTGGAGGTGAATGTGTCGATCTTCCACTTATCGATGTCGTCCGTATCCCACGGCTTATCTTGTTGGTGTGTAGAAGGCATCCTTCCTCGAGTTTTGTCCAATCCCCCGTTGTCTGTGGTTGAACAAGATGCAAGGGAATAACCTCGCTGCTTAAGATCGGGCGGGTTCGCAACCAAGTACGATCGCTTGCCGACAGTTTGAATTGTCAACGTAACCTCTGGTGCTTTCCAAAAAATTTGGATAGACGGCCAAGTCGTGTGGGGCGGGTTCAAAAAAATCCAAGATAAACCCACCCCCACCGTATATCAAACACGAGGCTCTGCCCGAAAGCACCAGACCAGAGCTTGATGAAATCTTCCTAGTGACGACTCCATGCTCGAGCGACTACTTCTGACCCTCGAAACCACCACCACGCCACGGGCCACAACCGCATCAAAATGTCCAAAGCAAAGGGCGCAACTGGCGCCGTTGACCAGGTGGTCAAATTGATTGTTGGAGCTGGCCAGGCGAGTCCCAGTCCGCCGGTTGGTCCTGCACTGGGAAGTAAGGGTGTCAAGTCGATGGATTTCTGCAAGGTATGGAGGATGCCTGGACACTGCGATGCCGCCAACTGGCGTTCAATTGGCGTATTTTGAGGCCATTTCTAACCGAGACTTTATTTCAAAATCACAGGAGTTCAATGCCAGGACCGCACATATAACCCCCGGCACGCCGATGCCTTGTCGAGTCACTGTTCGACCGGACAGATCATTCCACTTTGATCTGCGAACGCCACAAACTTCATGGCTTCTTTTGAATGCTGTCGAAGCACCGCGGAATAAGAAAGGAAACAGAAAGGGTGCTAGCAAACCGGGTCACGAGACGGTCGGAACCATCAGTTTGAAGCACGTGTACGAAATCGCAAAGATTAAGCAGTCAGAATTACGGCTTTCCGGTCTTTCTTTGGAGGGACTGTGCAGGTCAATCATTTATCAAGCGAGGTCGATCGGTATCAACGTTGTGGCATAGGAAAGCGGTGGGGAGCCAGATATGATATGAGGCCTATAGAGTGCTGAAAGTTGCCTTGTTTTTTTTCTCAAGATGAGGGGTGAAGATTAGTGTATACTACAGAGGAAGCAGGCTTGAAGCCAAATGTACAATATGGATGCTGCATGTCCTATGCCCAGGTTGGAAATTCCAGAATCGCGATTTCATCATTATAGCATGGAACTTTGATTGGTAGAATGTGAAAAAGGACGTCGGGATTTCATCATGCCAAAGTTTTTGCATGGTTCGCGTTGGAATATTTGTAATGGTGCTGGCGGTTGCTTAATCAACAGCGCGGGATTGCGAACAGAGACTTGATTTGTCCAAATGTGCTTGTTAGCATGTTGAGGTATTAAATGTTCGGCAAACCTTGGCTAGAACCTGGATATTAAAAGTCAAAGCAGCCAGGTATAGCGGCGCAACCGCGGGCCTTGCTTGACATGCAGGCGGTTGCTGTGGCTGACTTTATGTGACTACTACTACGTCAATACTACTACCACCATCTTCCTGGTCTGAGCTGAGTATTGGGATCCTATTCCAACGTTCTAGAAAAATTCGACTACCAGCCACACGCCAACTTTGACCTCCTCGCCCCAAGTTCAGGCGAGCAAGCATGTGGCCCTCGTTGATGGGACATGAGGCTATTATTCATAATATTCCAGAGTGACCAGCAATGGGCGGCTGAAAACTTGCAAGGCAAATCTTTTTGCAAAAAGCTTTTCAGCCCCAACGGCTGCAAGACGCCAACTGGTCGCCGGTAGGATTCCGATTCCACAAGGTACTTAAGTACTTAAGTACTTAGAGCTATTTCTCCCGCAGAACAAGCTCCGATGTCCAGCAAAAGTCCACTGTGGGTCTGGTCCATTTTGCGCGTCCATCACGGCTGTTCGATCTGTCCCGAAACATGGACGGGCACTCAGCCACACCGGACTCGCAATGCGATGGATAGATATCTTGGTCGAAATTGGCCCATTGCGTTGCAGGCTCAGGTGCAGCATCCGGAGCCTTTGGCCAGCGGGCGGGGTTTCGCACAGTCTGCATCATCTCACGTGGTGCAAAATAACGGCTTCATGGGACAATCCGACAACGGAGTGTACAATCGAAAATGGAAAACGCAGCAGAAGCCTTGATGTGTACAAATGCGGCACTCCATGTGGGTGGGATAGGCTGTGGTTGGCCGGCTTCAGCCCGAGAGTCAGGAACCCTGTGGTGCAAGAAGTCCATGTGACGAGCTTGTTGCCGAACATGTTCATGACCGGACGCCTCGACATGGCTAAACAACATGACAAGGGACGGTGAGAAGTCGGCATGCAGTCGAGTTCAAGCTGCTGAAAAATTTGACTGTAGGTAGGCGATGAGCTTTATGGCACAGACGTGCAGAAACATCCATACTTATATTAAGCCAAGGCCATGTATGGTTTGTGCCGCGGTGTAAGTCGGGGAAATTTCAAGCCATCCGTCATGCATGTCATTGGGGCGTCAATGACTTGCAATTTTACTACCGGAGCCGGGTTAGCCCTCGAGCTCCAGCTGTCGTATTTGCCTCTTAATGCAGGCGGAAGGAATTTTTTTAAGGCAAAAAAAAAATTCAAAAAAATTGAAGCGGTGCCTTCGGAGGGCGGCCGTCGGGTGGGTTCTATGGCGCGCTGTGGCGGTGACAGACTGACAGTAGCCGGCGAAAGGCGACGACTGCATCTTGGCTGGTGTACTTTGTACGACCAAACTGATTCAGACCGGCCCATCATCCCATGTGCATATTGCCAACAGTTGGATGGCACAATTGGTTATGGCAGCTACTTCGGAGAATTCTACACCTGCAGCAAATTCGCTGATGAATGATGGCCATTCGGAGCAGAAGGCTGACGGCTCTTCGCATCGGCTTCCACCAGAATGTTACTCCCGGCTCCGGCGTGCCTTTAGTTAACCCCCTTCCCTATTGTAGTTGCCTTGTCCTTGCGGCCTGTGTCGCTCCTTCCTGCAACCACCAAACTGTCAACTCGTACCTCGTACTTGCCTACTCTTCATCTGTAGCATGATGGAGCGCTTGAACATTTTGCCCCACCGCCAGCTTCTTTCCCACTCGCGCTAGCTAAGGCATCGCCGTGCAGTCCCCCAAAGAAGCGAAAACATCACATTGCTTCGCTCTCCTCTTTCCTATTCCTTTCAACCTCTCCTAAAGTCCTGCAACGACCAGGCACGCCTCGGACCGGTTCTAGCTTCCCCATCAGGCTCTGCTCGTTACCATCTCATGGCTTCCCAATCCCCCAACCAGGGGCATCATCACCATCCAGACACCGCCGGTACGTCAATGCATCTTTTCCCCGACTCTTCCGGATTCAGTACCCCTCCGTGCAAGTGTGTTTGTGATCTCTTGCGCTTTCTCCCCCGCGCAGCCTGGTGCTGTCTGGTTGCATCTGCGGGTGCAACATTGATCCAATCCAATCGACTCCGGTTTGCAGGCTGAATTCCGCGACATGACTGCCTGCTTTCTGCGTCGCTTTGCCGCCACTGACTTTTGCAATTCATCCCGTTGCGCCGCTTTCCAAAACAACTCGCTGACCTTGCGTTATGCTACCAACAGCCCCAGAGCCATCGCAGACGACTGCGAATGCTCCGGGCGACGTCTCTAATCCCAAGGATGATGCTCCGGCAGTTCGCTTTGCCTCTTCCATAGAGGAAATCTCGCCATCCGCTGCAGCCCCCGCCACGAGCCAAGACCAACAAGACTATAGCTTCTCCGAGGTTGCTGCTGACGAGCTTAAATCATTTACCAAATCTCTGCAAGGTCGCCCTCTTCAAGAGAGGCGTATGAATACGTTCCAATTCGAGGCCTTTTCTCTCCCCCC